CCACCACAAGGTTGTCAATTTCCAGAAGTCACCAGTTTGAAGGGACGCTGCCTTTGAGACAGAATGCATAGTTTTAGAAATTGAAAATGAGAATTTTTGAAGAGACAGGGAATCTAATCGACAATAATCTGCTTTCATATGTAAGCAAGACAATATAGACTGACCCAGGATATTGCCACCAAACTCTTGTGGTCGCGCTGCGGCATTCAGCAATTTCGCTGTCAGTATGTAACTTCCTTTCACTCTGTTGTAGTCTTCCTGAATTACTGGTGTTAGCTAAAACAGTAAAATCTACCATTCAGTTATTCTATACCTCTCTCTCGAAGCGTTCTTTTTGTATCCTTGTCACATAGATTACATCAACATTTTGTATGCCTTCAGGTAATGAAGTGAAGATTTTCTGAAATGCTTCTTTCTTTACAATCTACTTAAAAAAGAAATTCAAGAATATCAGAGTGATCTGACCTGTGTAAACCCAGCCTTCTTCTCAACATAGTCAATCACAGAGTCCGGCATTCTTAGTTCTGGCACAGGACTGACATAATGGAGTGTGATGTCCTGCAATAGACGACACGTCTCCCTCCAGAATAGAATAATATTTCAAAGAAGTTAACAAAAGAGACGAGAATAATCGTATAGCGAAATTTGAACAGAAAAAACAATAAAGTTAAAAAAATAGATATCCGCTTAATTCCTACCTTCGATGGACGTCGAATCAATAAAATATTACATTACCTTGTAGACGCATAGCAATTTCGCCAACGAATGCACTGTTCGACCGTTCTTCAAATCTCCAACCATAGCTATTGTGACCCCATTTAGCGTCCCGATTTCTTGACGAATAGTGTATACATCGAGAAGCGCCTGAATCACGAGAACAAATTCTCAAATGCAAAAGTTAGCTCATCTTTGTTCTTTACTTCATTGAAGATATTAAGCAATAATGTAAGATAATGGCTATATGCTTACAAAATCATTGCGAACGCAATACCAATGAGCTCATAAATTTAGGAAAAAATGACTTGTCCTTTATTCAAGGAGCCTTTCCAATTTCCACCTAAAACCCTCCTTATCTCC